GCCCATGTGCCACCTTGCAGTCGTCTTGCTGCTGGCCGTAGAGTTCTAGCAGGCATGCCTGCCTGGGTCCTCAGCCGGGGGCAGGTGAGAGGAGACCTCAGTGATGTGTTCACTGGGGCTCTGGTTGCAGCCTGCGGTTGTGTCATCGTGGTGAAAGGACTGACGAGCAGTGGTGAGGCCTGAGCACGGTCCACCCCTGTCCGCGAGGACTCCCATCCCAAACCCGAGGGCACAGAGGCTACAGGTGGTCTGAAGCCTCCTGTGCCTAGAAAGTAAGTGGTCATTGTGGGAGCAGTGTGCCAGTCACTCTCAAACAAGGCAGGGCAGGTGAAGGGACATGTGGCTAGGTCAGGGAGAGAAGGGGCAGCAGTACGCCCACAGTCCTTTTCAGTGCACTTTCTAGAGAAGGGCAGTTAGAGACAGGGTCTCACGCTGTTGTCCAGGCTGCACTGCACCGGCACGGTCACGGCTGATGGCGGCCTTGTGCGTCAGGCCATCCTCCCACCTCGGCCTCCCAAAGTGCTGGGATCAGCAGTGGAGCCACTGCAGTGTGAATTCCTTTTTGTTGCTATTGTGCATCGGTTGTTTCCTTTCCTTTTTTCGTTGTTCATGGATAGTACACAGAAACATAATTGGGTTTTGTGTATGGATTTTGCATTCTGCCACTTTGCTGAAATCATGTTTTTTGTATGTCGATCTTTTAGGGTTTTCTACATACAAGGTCATGTCATTTGTGAATACAGACAATTTTTCTGCAAGTGTTTTTTTTTCTTGCCCGGTTATTCTGGCTAGGGTCTCCAGGTACTGTGCTGAGTAGCAGCGGTCAGATAATCGTCGTCTTCTTCCTGATCTCAGAGAAAGAGCTTTTAGTCTTTCAGCATCCAGTGTGATGGCTGCTGTGGGTGTTTCACGTAGAGGCTTTATCATGGTCAGGAATCTCCCTTTTGTTCCCGACAGAGATTTCCTTAATTATCTGGATCCAAAAGGCAAACACAAGGCTGTTCCCCTTTAAGTCTCCGACATACACATATGGGAAGTTGCTGCATTTGCTGGCCCCTCAGGGACCTGCCAGAGCAACTAAAATGGCACGGCCCTAAAGTTTTGGAGGACAAGATCTCCTGCCCACCATGGCCCCAGCCAGCAGCTCCAGGAACACAGGCTGGGCTCCCTGCAGCGGAGGCAGGGCTGAGGAAGTAGGGGTGGCAGCTGCTCACTGTGTGCTTGCTTTCTGGGGGAACAGCACCTCTTCCTCTGAAACCCTGCCTGGGTGCCTTGAGCTTGGAATCAGGCTCTCAGGTTCTCAGAGTGGATTCTGAGCTCTTTTCTAGCATAAGGGTGTTTTGGTGAGGAGTGGCCCCTAGAGCATCCCTGTTGTGCCGTCTTTCCTGATAGCTCCAGTTTTGGGTTTGGTGTGTAGAATGGGGTGAAGCTTCAGTTCTGAGAACTCACCCATGTAGCAAGCGGGTCGCTCCATGTACTTGTGCCCTGCTCCCTGGCTTTCTGCTACATTTGCTCCTGAGGCCTCCTTGCCAGAGTCGCTCTGGCTTCGGTGGCTATGGTTAGATTTGGGGGCTAGTCAGCACAGAACCAGCTCCCTCAGGGAAGCTTCAGAAACACCATCTCTTACGCTGGAGAACAGGCAAGAAATGTTTGCAAATAGAGATCAGAAGCCACTGAATATGGGAACCTCTTTTTTTCAGGGCCTCTGGTAAGAAGACTGAAAGCAAAGAAGCCAAGAAGTCTGAAGAACCAAGAATTCGGAAGAAGCCCGGACCCAAGCCGGGGTGGAAAAAGAAGCTTCGTTGTGAGAGGTGAGGCCTGGAGTGCGGGGCTTGCCCCCGCCCCCCCCCCGTCGGGGCTGAGGCTTCATGTATGGTGTTTATTCCAGGGAGGAGCTTCCCACCATCTATAAGTGTCCTTACCAGGGCTGCACGGCTGTGTACCGAGGCGCCGACGGCATGAAGGTGAGCAGTGATGGTGCCTGACCGGGGCCTGGCAGCTGTCAGTGTGACCTGACTCAGACTTGTGCCCAAGGAAGCTCATGACCTAGACTAATGGCAACATCCCAGGGGTAGGTGTGGGCCCAGACTTTGACTGGAGATACCCCCTGGGGGTCCAGAAGTTTGGTGAAGCTATGGAGCCAGTGGTGTCGCCGGAGGAGGAGTTGGATCTGCCCTCCTTCCGCGGGGGTCAGCAGTCCACCCCTGAGGGCCCTTGGGGCTTGGCCCAGGTGAGGCTGAGGATCTCACTGAGTCTCTTTTGCAGAAGCACATCAAGGAGCACCACGAGGAGGTCCGGGAGCGGCCCTGCCCCCACCCCGGCTGCAACAAGGTTTTCATGATCGACCGCTACCTGCAGCGCCACGTGAAGCTCATCCATACAGGTGCTGTCGCGGACGCATGATACCCACCCCTGCCCCAGGAGTTGGGTGGCTAAAGGCCTCGGGTGCTCACAAGTCACGTAGGTAGATGAAGGCTAGAGTAGGGGTCTGTGACTCTGCCGTTCCCCATGATGGAAGGAATTCCCAGATTCCCAGCAGTTTCTCAAAACTGATGCATGTTTCTTAACATGGAGTCTTGCTGTCACCCAGACTAAAAGGGGGTGTGATGTTAGCTCACTCTAACCTCTGCCTCCCGGGTTCAAGTGATTCTTCCGCCTCAGCTGCCCAAGTAGCTGGGATGACAGGCGCCTGCCATAAAGCCCGGCTAGCTTTTGTTTTAGCAGAGACGCTTTCACCGTGTTGGCCAGGCTGGTCTCAGACTGAAGCTTGGGCAGGTTTGAACTGTGTGCACCCGTGTACCTGTGGTCAGGAACTCGAATCCCTGATATACAGAGGGCCGCGTTTTCATATGTGCAGGCTCTGTGGGGTGTTTGTTTGTAGTATGAGCAGATTTTGGTATTGGTAAGGGGGGGTCCTCGGTGAAGCCCGAGCTCCCCTGAGGAGGCAGCTGAGGACAACTGTATATTGATCCCTAAATATGTAGTTTTGCTTGGTTTTGAGCTTTTTAAAGAACAATTTATTGCAGAAAGTATTTTCTCATTAGGATTTATTTTTATTGCTGGATCACCTTGTGGATTTCAGTGAAACCACTTTCCTGGCACCTGCCATGTTGGTTTGAGTGTTCTCCCCCATCTCTGCTGATGGCACTCGTTCCCTTGGCTTTGGTTCTTCAGACTCTCCGCCTGACATCAGGCTGGGTGTGGTGGCTTACGCCTGTCATCTCAACATTTTGGGGGCTGAGGCAGCAAGATTGTTTGAGGCCAGGAGTTTGAAACCAGCCTGGGCAACATAGTGAGACCCCATCTCTACCAAAAGTTTTATTATTTATTGATTGAGATAGAGTCTAACTCTGTTGCCCAGGCTGGAGTGCAGTGGCACTATCTTAGCTCACTACAACCTCCGTGCCTCCCTGGTTCAAGTGATTCTCCTGTCTCAGCCTCCTCTCCCGAGTAGTTAAGATTATAGGCACCCGATGCCATGCCTTTTTTTTTTTTTTTTTAAGTAGCGAAGTGGCTTTTGCTATGTTGGCCAGGCTAGTCAAACTCCTGACCTCAGGTGATTCACGCTCACCTCGGCCTCCCAAAGTGCTGGGATTACAGGTGTGAGCCACCAGGCCCAGGCCCCCAATGTTTTTTAATTAGCAGGGTGTAGCTGGGAGGCTGAGGCAAGAGATCAGTTAAATCTGGAGGTTCGAGGCTATAGTGAGCCATTATTGTACGACTGCACCCAAGCCTGGGCAACTGAGTAAGCAAGACTCAAGTCTTTTTTTTTTTTTTTGAAGTAGAACAGCATAGAGTAAGACCTCAGGGTAAAGTTTACCTCAGAAAAGTCTGTCTTGCTCAGCTATTTCAGGCTTGACAGATATGTGGACAGCATAGGGTGAGCGAGTATGCATGTCCACACATGGAGCAAGTACAGCCATGCATACCAACGGGGTCTCTCCCACACCCTGAGTATGGCCCCTCTCACAGCTTCAAGAAGTTGTGGTCAGGGAAATAGGTGGCTTCTGAATTTCCTTTAAAAACCATCCTTAAGGCCGGGCGTGGTGGCTCACACCTGTAATCCAAGCACTTTGGAGGCCAAGGCGGGCGGATCACCTGAGGTCGGGAGTTCAAGCCCTGCCTGACCAACATGGCGAAACTCCGTCTTAAAAAAAAAACTGTCCTTAAATGTATATGGCTGATGATGGGGAAGACCTAGCTGTGTGATGGTCCTGTCAAGCAATTTACTTATTAATAAATTAGGCTTCAGAGGCCCCTTGCTTGTTCCTACCACATGTTGAAGTGTGATCCTCTCAGCTGTGATGTTTTAGACTGTCATTCCCCATGCCACCGCGCCCCCCTCCACCGGGCAGTTGGAGCATCAGGGGCCTGTACTCACTGGACTCTGCTCTCTCAGAGGTGCGGAACTACATCTGTGACGAGTGTGGACAGACCTTCAAGCAGCGGAAGCACCTCCTTGTCCACCAGATGCGACATTCGGGAGCCAAGCCTTTGCAGTAAGTGTGAGCCCGGCCCACCCCAGGGCTGTGGCTGGCCCAACCACCTTCTCACCTGCCTCTGTCCCTCAGGTGTGAGGTCTGTGGGTTCCAGTGCAGGCAGCGGGCGTCCCTCAAGTACCACATGACCAAACACAAGGCTGAGACTGAGCTGGACTTTGCCTGTGACCAGTGTGGCCGGCGGTTTGAGAAGGCCCACAACCTGAACGTGCACATGTCCATGGTGCACCCGCTGACACAGACCCAGGACAAGGCCCTGCCCCTGGAGGCAGAGCCACCCCCCGGGCCACCTAGCCCCTCTGGAACCGCAGAGGGCCAGGCGGTGAAGCCCGAGCCCACCTGAGGACACCAGTGAGGATGGGACCCGTAGCAGCCTGGACTCTGCAGGGCCGTGTCAGCCTCACCGACTTCCTGTGAAGCCCTGTAGGAGGGTCAGAGGATGTGGCCCACCTTTGGTGGTGCAGGCGGGCTTGGTGTACAGATCAAGTAGCCTTTCTCTGCTCTGGGACCAGTGGTTTATTTTCCTGCAAACACTGAAGTGACTTGGGGCCAGGCAGTTTATAAATAATGGATTCCTTTTCCCCACTAAAGCAATCGAGGAGATTCGTAATCCACTTTTTAGTGCAACAGGAGCTCCATGTTACACTTGTAATAAATTATTTACAAAGGAGCGGGCCTGGTGTGCACTGGCAGGTCCTGTCAGAAGAGATGAGGCTCCCGGTGCAGGTCAGTGTCAGGCACAGCCTGCTGCCTGCTCCGGAGGGCAGCGCTCAGTTCCGGGTCGCAGTCTCCACGATGAGCCAGCAGCTGGGAGAGAACAGGGACTCAGCCCACAGGGGAGGGGTGCTGGCAGGACAGCAGAGTCATGCTGCCCGCCAGGCGGGCCCATGGCCCAGGCAGCTGGGAATTCTCACGTCCCCAAGGTGGGCAGCTTGACATTACCTCTGTTATGTGTGAGAAGTTCTTTTTCGGGCACCGAGGTATTAACTGCAGCAGAAAAAGGCGAGCTTTTGTTATCAGATCAACAGGGTCGCCCTAAAGAGAACAACAGGCAAAATCACCTTGGAAGGCATACTGAGACAGGGCTGGTATCCCCCCTCCCATCTGCATGCTGCACCTCAGGCGGGGGAGCTCCCCTGGAGATGGGACTGGCACCTGCCTGACCCTGGAGCTCGAGGCTTCTGCCAGCTGGAGGTGAAACTGTGCTCGTATCCCCAGCCACGAAGAGTTGGACCAGCTTCAGGTACATGTCGACAGCAACACGCAGGAAGGCGTCTTCCCTCATGGCTGCGTCTTCGTGGAAGTTGGAGAGAAGACTAGAGGTAAAGACATGGTTACAGGTGGCTAAGACCGCTGGAAAGGTCGCAGGTGATATCAGGGTACACCTGCTCATCGGTGGGGCAGAGGCATAGGCCACCTTTCCCATCTGGTGGGAGACCCATAGGGGCTAAGATAGGGGTCTGGGAAACACTTCCCCCCCCACCCCCGACCACACACGGCTGTGTAGTTACCTGTAGAAGGCGAAAGGCAGCAGCCTGGAGTGCTGATCCGGGGCCACGCGGAGGAGGAGGCACCCCAGCCTGGTGTCTGCAACACCAAGAGGTGGTTCAGACAATTCTGGACATCTCTGCCTCTTAGCAGTGCTGGGGGACACCCCTAGGATCAGAACGTGTGCTCTAGGAGGCTTGGCTAGGGTCATGGTGTGGGGTGAACAGCCTGAGCTGAGGACACCTGGGCACCTGTCAGCAATTGGGGGAGACGGGTGGGGGGGGTCACCCTCCTGCAGGAGAGCGGGGGTGCGGGGCAGAGTGAGGCAGTGTCCACAACAGGCCTGTGAGTCCTAGGGTTGACCAGTGAACCGGTCAAGTTATCTTACTGCTTTGAACAAGAAATGGAGCTTATCAACTAAGACAGAGGATAAACTCAAAAATGAATTTGCGAAGTGAACCTCAAGGAGGGCCCGTTCGTTTGAAAGTTGCCTCTGAAAAGAGCAGTGCTCCGTGTTTTTCTTACCACTCTCTGTCAACTGAAAGAGCGCCAGCCAGGATATCTTCCTCTTCTCTAAACACTCGAGGACTGCGGCACAAACATCTAAAGCCTTTGGTGGGCCCAGGGCGCTCTGTAAACCGTGCAAGAGGAACACTGAGAATGGCCGACCTGCTGTGCTCACGTGGGTAGGGGAGTATGGCCCTCCTCACAGAAGGCATTTCCCCAGTGCTTACTGCAAGTCTTAGAACTGGTGACGACCTATAAAAGATAGCACAGGGGTCTGTGGACGGAAGGGGCTCACTCACCAGGCCGCTATACCACGTCCTGAAATCAATGTGAAAAGAAAGGCCCACGGGCCGGATGCAGTGGCTCATGCCTGTGGTCCCCCAACCCTCTGAAAGCCCGAAGAGGAGCAGATCACTAAGGGCAGTTCAAGACCAGCCTGGAAACACAGTGAAACTTGGTCTCTACTCTAAAAATACAAAAATTAGCTGGGCTTCATGGCGCATGCCTGTAATCCTAGACAGCAACTCAACAGGCAGAGAAAAGAGAATAGTCTGGACCCAGGAGGCAGAAATTGCAGCGAGCCAACACTGTGCCAGTGTAGTCCAACCTGGGTAACAGAGCGAGACTGTCTCAAAAAAAAAAAAAACAAAAAAGGTCCATGGCCTGGGAATTCTCCTACTTCTGCAAACATAGGGAGCTTCTGAGCTACTATGGAAATCCTGACTTCAGGCAGCGAGCTTCCAAGCCAGCCCCTGCCTGGCCCACACAGGAGAGGACACCTTAGTTGGTAAGGTCTGACTTACGTTCGGGGTCAGATGTGACGACAGCAAGCCCATCAAGGAGAAGAAGAAAAGGAAAACCAATAGCTGCCAAGAAAGATGTGCACTTATTACTATTACATTAAAATGACACGTACTGTGATTGCAAATAAGGTCGACACATAAATTTCTCTTTAACTGAATCTTTTTACATCTAGGCCATAAATCCTTTAAGTGGATCTTAGAAAACTTTTCAGTCACTTTTTAAAGAGAGAGCTTAATTGAGAATTACTACTGACTGAGTCATTTCACACTTGCCTTTAAACATAGAAAGAGGGGGTGCTGCAGACTCCTTGGCTGTGTGTGGGGTCCCAATCCTTGGGCAGGTATCTGTGGACAGTCCTCTCCGCACAGTAGGGCCTCAAGGCTGTGGAGCCACTAAAATTCCTTCTAACAAAAGTCCACAGGCAACCTGACGACATACTCAGAAGAACCCTAACTCCTGGAGGGTTGTTAAAAATCGCCAAAACCCTTGGCTGTGCCGTGGATCCAGCTTTCCGCTGGTGTGAGCACTACGCTGATGCAGAGCCTGTGTTGACCATGGGCTGGGCACAGGGCACTGCTCAGTCCAGCTCTCTTGTGCCATGCTAGCTTCAGTTCCTGTTGTACCCACACCACCCCTGGCTCCCTACATGGAGGGCCCTGTGGGTGGCACTGGCCTGGCAGGGGTAGTCAGGCTTTCCAGGGTGCAGCGATCAGGTGGGCACTGGGGCTGAGTCCAGCATAGTCTCTGGCCTGGAATCTGCAGCAGCCTTTTCTCCTGTTCCCTTCCCCATACCTATGGCTAAAGAGTCCCATCCTTTCTGCCGCTTGTCCCCAGCACCCCAGCTCAGAGCTGTCTCACTGCAAGCTTATCAGGGCTGTCCCTCAGCAGCATGAACAAAGACGACACCACTTGAAGACTGACAGCTTTACACTGGGCTGTGATGACGAAAAGAGCCTAAATCAAAGCACTTCGAGCCTGGGCAACAGAGGGAGACGCCCCCCACCACCTCCCTTATTATTTTTTTGAGGCGGCGTTTCGTTCTTGCCCAGGCTGGAGCGCAATGGTGTTATCTGGGCTCACTGCAACCTCCACCTCCTGGGTTCAAGCAATTCTGCCTCAGCCTCCTGAGTAGCTGGGATTACAGGCACGCACCACCACGTCCAGCTAATTTTGAATTTTTAGTAGAGATGAGGTTTCTCCATGTTGGTCAGGCTGGTCTCTAACTCCCGACCTCAGGTGATCCGCCCACCTCGGCCTCCCAAAGTGCTGGGATTATAGGCCTGGGCCACTGTGCCTGGCCTTTTATTTTTTCTTTTTATTTTTTTGAGACAGTCTTGCTACAGGGCAGGGACAGGATCTTGGCTCACTGTAGCCTCCGCCGCCCAGGTTCAAGAGATTCTCCTGCCTCAGCCTCCCGAGTGGTTTTACAGGCTACAGGATTACAGGCATGTACCACCAAGGCCGGCTGATTTTTTTTATTTTTAGTAGAGACAGTTTCACCATGTTGGCCAGGCTGGTCTTGAACTCCTGACCTCAAGTGGTCTGCCCACCTTGGGGCCTCCCAAAATGTTGAGATTATAGGCGTGAGCCATTGCACCCGGCCTAGAGACCCTCATCTCTCCGAGACCCTCTCATCTCTTAAAAAATTTAAAAACTTAGCTAGGCATGGTGGTACACACCTGTTGTCCCAGCGACTCCAGAGGCTGAGGCCAGAGGATGGCTTGAGCCCAGGACAAAGAGGCTTCAGTGAGCTATGACTGCACCACTGCACTCCAGCCTGGGCGAGAGAGTGAGACTCTGTCTCAAAAATAAGTAGATGGATATAAGCATTTCAAAAAATGAAATCTATTTTTACCAAACTTGAGACTCGGTCTTTTTCATTTCCAAATAATGTAACAAGAACTCCAAGCCTCCTATTTGTCATTAAAAAAACACAGTTCATCAGGCAAACCCAGAGAAATAGCACTGACTAAAACCAAGCTTGCGAGAGAAGAAGAAAAAGAATTTCTTATCTTGCCTCCTCTCTCTCGCAGTCCAACTTTTTGAGCTGGGTCCGGACATTTTCTTCCCCGACTTGTTGAATTGCAAAGTACAGTGCGGCAGCTGAGAGCCAGGCTGGGTTGGGTGCCTGGGGGGTGGCATCAGGAGAGAGGAAACTGGAACAGAGAGAAGGTGGTCATTGCAGGGCTTTACGGCCACACCACAGATGCCAAGTCCTTATTCCCAGCTGTCACAATGCCTCCTGTACACCTCTGGGGCTCGCCTTGCCATCAGAGGATGCAGAAGGTCATCAGGCCATCAGAAACAAGGTCTGCATCCCTACGCACCTCAGGTCCACCTGAGAGTCTGGGCAGGTGCTGGTGCTGCCCCCACAGCTCCTACTGACTCCAGGAGGGAGTGGGCAGGGCCTGTCCACCTTGCCCTGTGTTCTCGGGCCCCAGCTGCCTAAGTTTTAGAAAAAGAGGCCTCAGTTCTCCATGCCTGGCCCTGTGACTAGATCAGGCATTCCCTCCTAGAACAGAGAACAAAGGACCACTCGGCTCTGACCCCACTGTGGTGTCAGACAGTTTTCTAGCCAGTTAAAAAATTGGCAGGAGACTGGGCATCATGGCTCACACCTATATAATCCCAGCACTTCGGGAGGCTGAGGCAGGTGGATCAAAAGGTCAGGAGTTTGGGGTTTGAGACCAGCATGACCAACATGGTGAAACCCCACCTCTATAAAAATACAAAAATGAACCAGGAGTGGTGTGTGCCTGTAATCCCAGCTACTCAGGAGGCAGAAGAATCGCCTGAACCTGGAAGGCGGAGGTTGCTGTGAACCGAGATGGTGTCACTGCACTCCAGCCTAGGGCAGTACATTAATGAAACATGATGCTGTGGTTTAAGAAACATCAAATAAGCTGGGCATGGTGGTTCACGCCTGTAATCTTAGCACTCTGGGAGGGTAACTTAAGCCCAGGAGTTCCAGACCAGCCTGGGCAACACAGTGAGACTCAATCTCAAAACATCACAACAAGGCCCGGCGTGGCGACTCACGCTTTAATCCCAGCACTTCGGGAAGCCAAGGCGGGCCGATCACTTGAGGGAGTTTCATTCTTGTCGCCCAGGCTGGAGTATAGTCTCAGCTCACTGCAGCCTCCGCCTCCCAGGTCAAACAATTTTCCTGCCACAGCCCCTGAGTACCTGGGACTACAGGTGCCCGCCACCACATCCAGCTAATTTCATTTTTAGCAGAGATGGAGTTTCACCATGTTGGCCAGGCTGGTCTCAAACTCCTGACCTCAGGTGATTCACCTGCTTTGGCCTCCCAAAGTGCTGGGATTACAGGCGTGTGCCACCATTCCCAGCTCTTCTGTTTTACAAGCAGGCTGTGAGCAGCTGAATCCCGAGGGGACCCAGCGTGGCATCAGGGAATCAAAATAGTGAAAAAGGATGGTGTTCTCCAAGGAGGCTGGATGGGGACTAGCAATATCCTCTGTGACCCCCTAGGAACACGCACCCAGATTCAGGAGGTGGAGAGGCCGTCACCTGGCGTCCCCCAGGAGGGTGGGTTAGTCCAGAATGCACCAAGAGCTCAGCAGTTTCTAAGGACCCATGAATATGGGACTGGGGTCCACAGGACAGAATAGGCTGAGAATCTGCACCCTGAGGTCCCAATGACACTGACCCCCAGCATGAGGCTGACTCTGGGAGCCCACGTCAGGTGTAAGAGGAAGGGGAGCAGGTGAGGAGGAATCATTCTCGAGCTCCTCACTGGGACAGGGGCCTGCCAGAGGCCGGTTATGTTATTTTTTTCCCAAAGACTGAGGCTCGATGTATTGCTCACGGGGGTGCAGTGGCGTGATCTCAGCTCCCTGCAACCTCTGCCTCCTGGGTTCAAGCGATTTTCCTACCTCAGCCTCCCGGGTAGCTGGGATTACAGGTACCCACCATCATGACAGCTCAGTTCTTTTCTCCCTGCTCCCACGAGAGTCTGCCCATGCCCCTTCTCTCAAGTAAACTAGGGTGTCCAGGGACAACACCGAACAGGTCCCAAAGTGCATCTGGGCATGCACGCTTCGGGCCGCCACCCACACGTACTCGCTGGCAAACTGGCGGCCTTCTTGCAGCCTCTGCAGCTCCCGGGGCAGTGGGCTCTGGCAGCGTCTCCTCCACTGGCAGAGCAGCACAGGCTCCAGGCTCGGCCACCACAACTAGAGAGAGAGAGCACCAGGACACAGATGAGGGCGGCTGAGATGGACATGCCTCCAATGCCACAGCCACGAGGAGCCCGCAGCGCTCCTACCAGCCACCATGGGCCCACGCTCACCCTGCGCTTTGGAACTCCAAAGCCAGTATCTTTTACCTCAATGAAGGGTCAACACTGTTGTGAGGCATGATTACCCACACTCACGGAAAAAGGGGAATTAGGAAAGGAAGAGCCTGGCCTAACGCAGCAGTGAAGCAACCACACCGCCCCTGAGCTGGGCGTGCCTTGTCCTTGGACGTCCTCAGCTGAGAGCTGGCATTCTAAATACAGAAGAGTTCATTTCTAGTGAATTCCACCAACTGAGCTACAACTCGGGGGAAATGTCAGCCTACTTGAGGAGCTCCCTGGGGAACATGCTGTGCTCCTTGAAGAAAAAAACCCTCACGTCCCTGATGACAAGTCTTCAGGACGAAGTGAGCCACCGAGGTAGTGAGGGAAGCGCTGACTCTTCCCCCATGCCCGGGACCCCGGGATGTTATGGGAGCCTGTGAGCTCTGGCGGGAACTGAGGTGAAGTCTCTGCTCCGAATTCCGTAGTCAGGCGCAAGTGAGCACAGGCAGCCACCGACAGCCTCCAGCCAACGTGTAACCCAAAACCGTGAACCAACAAGCCCCACGCACAAATGGACACAAAGGTGCCTGTGGGGTCTGAGCGGGGTCCACAGGGGAGAAGTCATGAGGGTTCCCAAGGTGTCTGCAGTGGGGGCTGGGACAGTTCTGGGAACTCAGGACGCTCGGCACTGATCTGCTGGGAGCTGACATCTTTAACTGTGGCCTCGGAGTCTCCTGACACATTTTTCTCTGGGATTATAACACCCAAGATGGAAAAGAGCTGGAGAGAAGCCAGAGCAGCCACACAGTCCCCCACTCAGGCCCAAAGCAAAACATCTGAGAAGACAGCGGGCCTACCACAGCTGAGGTCAAAATTAAGGGGCATTTCGTCTGGCACTGGGCCAACATCAAGTCGACCATCAGAGAAGGGTCTCTGCTCCGCAGACTGGCGTTCAGGAGCCCCTGCAGGAGAGAACACAGCAGGAGCTCAGTGGTTTGCCAGGACCCGTGACCAGCAGAGCGTAAGAACCTGCAGGACCCTGATAGGAGGATCCACCCACAGGGCGCTGAGAAGGCCCTGGGAGGGGCTGAGGGACCAGCTTACCCTGAAGAAGTGGGCAGTGATGTCCTGCGTCAGGGCGCCTCTGTGGGAGCAGATGTTTCTCTGTAAAAGAGTTCAGGGAAAGAAAAAGGCCACAGGTAGAGAGCTGAGACCAGCGTGCAGAGACGCTGCTGGGTGGATTCGGTTGTGAGAGAAACACCCCCTGAGGCTTGGCAGAGGCGACCATGGATGGCACACCTGGCTGACCTGGCCTGGAGCCCTGGCCATGCTGTCCTCCCTGTGCAGCCAGCTCCCGCAGCCCAAACAGTCTGTAGGCTCCAGAAGAAGGCAGGGAGGCACAAGTGGCTGCAGGGACAGGAAGCACTGGGGCCCAGACGTTGTATTGCCGAGGACAGTAGCTCCACTGCCCAGCCATCCTCTGGTTCCTCTGTCCTTCGCTAACCAAGTGCTGCCCATGGTGTTTTCCTGTCTGTCTGCTGTCATGTGCCATTCTGAGAACTTTCCAAAAAATAGCCTTTCATAAGAATTCAAAGGAAACTATGGTGATTTTCTTAAAGCTTCCACTGGTCTCATCTCCTCTGCTTTTCTTGTCACATTTTAAAGTGACAAGGAAAGGGGCTACACAAGGCGGGGCACGGTGGCTTACAGCTGTGATCCCAGCACTTTGGGAGGCTGAGGTGGGTGGATCATGAGGTCAAGAGTTCGAGACCAGCCTGACCAACATGGTGAAACCCCGTCTCTACTAAAAATACAAAAATTAGCTGGGTGTGGTGGCGCATGCCTGTAATCTCAGCAACTCAGGAGGCTGAGCAGGGGAATCACTTGAACCCAGGAGGCGGAGGTTGCAGTGAGCCGAGATCGCACCACTGCACTCCAACCTGGGTGACAGAGCGAGACTCCATCTCAAAAAAAAAAAAAAAAAGTGCTACATAGCTGGCGTGGAACGTCAATTCCATCTCTCACATTTGTGCATCTTCAAAAACAAGAAAAAGGCCTCAGGAACAGAAGCTGCTCTCTGTGGCAAGTGAGGGGCTGGTATCTTCCCGGCTTGGACCGGCTCGGTCCCTGACGTTGACCCGTCCCCAGAGCAAGTGCCGCTTCTTTTTTTTTTTTTTTTTTTTGGAGACAGTCTCCCTCTGTCGCCCAGGCTGAAAATCAGTGGTGGGATCTTGGTTCTGCACAACCTCAGCCTCAAACCTCCTGACTTAGCCTCCCAAGTAGGTGGGACTACAGGCATGCACCGCCATGCCCAATTAATTTTAGTATGTTTTGTAGACACAGGGTTTTGCCATGTTGCCCAGGCTGGTCTCAAACTCCTTGACTCAAGTGATCCACCCACATCGGCCTCCTGAAGTGCTGGGATCACAGGCATGAGCCACCACACCTGGCCTACAGGTTAAGATCACACTGGGCAGCGTCTAAAAGCAAAGGTAACGGGGGTGCCCCACGTAAAAGGAAAGGTAACGGGGGTGCCCGACAGGCAGCAGGTTTTTTACACATGAAGCATGCTGAGACTGGAAATGAACGTATGGAGGTGTGTGGCACACAAAATGGTCTGTACAATTCCATGCGTCAAAATCAAAGTGAAGGAGTTCAAACTTAGCAGAAGGCAACCTTCAGCTGGCCTGGTGATGTGACGTGCGTCCTGGCTGTGGGTCAGGGCCTCCCTCACACGGCACTCCACACTCACACAGCATTCCAGACGCTGATACCTATGTGACTCTGAGCCCTTTCCTGAGTGAATCCATGCTCAGGACACCCATGGAAGCTGCAAGAGCTGCTGTCAGCACAGGCACTGACCAGTCAGGCGGACGTGAGTGCGCAGCACCTACCATCTCCGAGTTGACCAAGTGGAAGAACTGCTCGCATCTGGCAGTGATGGGCTGTTGGGCCTGGAAGCTGCTGCCGCAGAGGACAGATGAAGGCAGGCGGAGGAGGATCCTGGAAGGAAGGGGCCATATTGCCGGCAACACACAGCACACACGCTGCTCCTTCCCAAGGGCTCAGACTCTCAGACCAGCAGCCACCACCCGGAGACCCAGTGCCACTGCCAGGGCAGGAGCCTGGGCCTGTCTCTCTGTCCCACCCAATGCCTGCACTCGGAGCCCCACTCGCTCACCTGTATCATGCATGCTTTGCCTACCGCACTCAAAATGTGTTATCAAAGAACCCCAACTTTTAACAGTGACATAATAAGCAAGTGGATGCTGCACCAGTCTGTCTCACGAAGCAATTCCCAATAACTGTAAAGTTTAATGACGTCACCTTTTTTTTTTATTGTAAATACAGCTGCGGTGAACATTTCTCAAGTTTTCCTTACTTTGACAAGATCTCCTTCTGCTGTGTCCCTCCACGAGGATTTGCGAATCTGAGCAAAGGTTTTACTTGCGTTTTTGAGACAGAGTCTCGCTCCGTCATCCAGGCTGGAGTGCAATGGGGCGATCTCGGCTCACTGCAACCTCCACCCCGCAGGTGCAGGTGATTTCTCCTGCCTCCCAAGCAGTTGGGACTACAGGCATGTGCCACCACGCCCAGCTAATTTTTTTTTTTTTTTTTTGAGATGGAGTCTCGCTGTATCACCCAGGCTGGAGTGCAGTGGCGTGATCTCGGCTTACCACAACGTCCGCCTCCCAGGTTCAAGCCATTCTCCTACTTCAGCCTGCTTACAAGGATGCTAGCTAGGCTACTTTTGTATTTTTAGTAGAGACAGGGTTTCTCCATGTTGCTAAGGCTGGTTTCAAACTCCCAGCCACAGGTGACCAGCCCACCTCAGCCTCCCAAGTAGCTGGGATTACAGGTACCCACCACCACGCCCAGCTAACTTTTGCATTTCTGGTAAAGATGGAGTTTCACCATGTTGGTCACACTGGTCTCGAACTCCTGACCTCAGGTGATCCACACACAACCTTCCAAAGTGCTGGGACTGCAGGTGTGAGCCACCTTGTCCAGCTGGAAGGTTTTAATCCAAAGTACTTTCAACCTGCTGGATCCTTCTCTTTGTGGCAAGTGCCTCGCAGACAGACAGGCTTGGGGTGGGGACACACAAACAAGCAACAGGAAACAAACGCGCTACAAAGAAACTCCAGGACCGTCATGAGATGCTGCCCTGCCCAGGTGCTGGCAGATCTTACCTTTTGTACATGAGAAGCTCCCTCTGTCTCTGAAGGCTGGCAGCTACGCCCCACCCGCTGATCAGAGCCTGCAGCCGTCTGTGGAAAATCCCATAGAGGAAGTGCCCCTGGGAAGGGGAGTGGCTGGGGGGCACCGAGGGGTCTTGCTGCAGCTCTAGGTCAGCTGCCATCTCCTGGAAAAGAGCAAGATGCTGGCACAGGAAGGCCTCCAGGCTCACTGACGGCCAGGCAGGGGTGCTGAAAAGGGGCCTCGGGGAGAGGTCTCCACAGAGGCCAGGGCGAGCTTTTTCAACTGGTAATCATTCTGAAATTGCAAAGATAGAACAGTGCAGGCCAGGTGCTGTGGCTCACACTGCAATGCCAGTAGCTTTGGGAGGCTGAGGCAGGTGGATCCCTTGAGGGCAGGAGTTCTAGTACTACTAGAGCAACAAGGTAAAACCCACTGGCTCATCAATAAAAAAATTAAAAAGGCCGGGCGTGGTGGCTCAAGCCTGTAATCCCAGCACTTTGGGAGGCCCAGACGGGTGGATCACGAGGTCAAGAGATCGAGACCATCCTGGTCAACATGGTGAAACCCCGTCTCTACTAAAAATACAAAAAATTAGCTGGGCATGGTGGCGTGTGC